TATATTTTTTTTATTATTTCAGTTAACATTTATTTTATTTCAAGTAACAAAAAAATGTTTTGTTAATGTTTTTAATTTGAGTTACCTATAATAGCCCTGCATGTTTAAAAAAAAAAATCTAAATTACAACCAACAGATTTATATCAATTACTTGGAATAGGATTTGTCTTGATTCAAATTAAATGAAGACAAAAATAAAACAATGCGGGAAAACCTGCAGCTAATGTTCTTCTACAGATGAAATGCGTCCAGATTATAATCAACTACTTTGCCAAACTACATTTATCAAAAATCTAAATTTCTAAACTTCTAAAGCCACTTTTATAATGTCTATTCAATTATTTATTGCTTAATATCTTAATATATATATATATATATTTTGCAGTGTAAAACATTCTAAAAACATAAAACTATTTGTAAAATAAATTTAGCATGACATTTCAGTTATTATTTGAGCTATAACTGAATAAAATTATTATTATTATTATTATTATTATTGTCTGTGTCTAATATGTTTATATAGTTTTTATGAATTTTCTTTCAGTTTTAGTTTGAGTTATTTTAGTACATCAAGTTAAACTAAATGATGTTTTGTTAATGTTTTTAATTTGAGTTACCTATAATAGCCCTGCATGTTTAAAAAAAAAAATCTAAATTACAACCAACAGATTTATATCAATTACTTGGAATAGGATTTGTCTTGATTCAAATTAAATGAAGACAAAAATAAAACAATGCGGGAAAACCTGCAGCTAATGTTCTTCTACAGATGAAATGCGTCCAGATTATAATCAACTACTTTGCCAAACTACATTTATCAAAAATCTAAATTTCTAAACTTCTAAAGCCACTTTTATAATGTCTATTCAATTATTTATTGCTTAATATCTTAATATATATATATATATATATATTTTGCAGTGTAAAACATTCTAAAAACATAAAACTATTTGTAAAATAAATTTAGCATGACATTTCAGTTATTATTTGAGCTATAACTGAATAAAATGCTCATGTTAACGTAATCTAGACCGTCAGAGTACCTTGATTTACTGTGGTAATTAAGCTATTCAAAATGTGAGGTGTGACCCGGTGTGAAATTCTAAGTGAAATTCCCTGTCTCATAGGCTGTGTGTGTACAGTGTGTCTTTGTGCCGACCTCAGAGCATTTCTCTTATGCCCCAGCTTAGCCATGGATTTGCCCCCTACAATGCACTATGGCGACAGCCTCTGACCCTGACACCACCCTCTGCCTCCAGTGACTGCTGACACACTACACACAGACTGACTCCCCTCAAAATAACCCGTTGACCCAAGATGGGAGTTTCATATAGACTTGTAAAATTAATTACATTCAGAAAGGGTGTGCTAATTTTCCAATGTGTATACTTGGATGTGTTTTATATGGATGTAATGTGACAGCAGTTCCACCAGTATAAGAAAATACACAGCTCACCTCTCTGAGTTCCTGCACCAGGGCGTTGAGATGTTCAGTCTCCACTTGGGCGCTGGAGGCCACGGAGCTGCTCAGGTTGAGCTGGGTTTGAAGGTCCACCAGACGTTCCATAAAATAGGCCTCTTTGGAGGCAGATTCCTGCAACAATGTCTCTTCGTTTGTCTCACCATCCTCGGCTACTTTACGCTGGTTGGTGTACGCCTGACCGAATGCCTGGAGGAAAATGAATGACAGAAACAGAAAAGGGGTGTTTAAGGAAGTGTCGACAAAAATTATGGCTGTGTTCACAACAGCCTACTACCATACTACCAAACAGCTGACGGTAGCCATTGACTTCCATAGAATTCTTTTCCACACTATGGAAGTCAATGGCTACCGTCAACTGTTTGGTTACTAACATTCTTCAGAATATCTTCTTTTGTGCTCAACAAAATAAAGAAAATCATACAGGTTTGGAACACCTTGAGAATGATGTTGAGTAAATGATGACAGCTATTACATTTTTGAATGAAATATTCATTTTAAGTATACTGAGCCTCTGCATATTTTATCATTGCATAACAGCATACCAATTCATGACAAAAGATCAAGCAATTAACTGACAGATATGTGCTATTAGCAAGTGTCAAGAATAATTAGGTGACCCGAATGAATAGACTAATATGCTAAATGACACCAAATTAACAAAACCAATGTGATCTGATATTACAGAAAGTGACAAGGCATTAAGATACGACAGATTTGATCTTGCTGCTCAGATGTGATTGAGCTGTCAGCATGAAAAAACCAAGGTGTGTCAATATTACTGTTAGATGGCACAATATGAGATGTGTTTGTTAATGTAAGTGTAATGTAATTTGAATTTAAATCACACTTCCTGGTGAGGATGGCCCACATTTCAACAAAACTGCACCACCTTTCCTCTCTCATCACCTGCCCAGGCAAAGTGCTGCACTTCAAGATAACTGAGATAATATTTCAGCTGCTCACTCGGATCAATAGAAACAGTGTGCCGATTGCCCTGACACAGGTTTTCACTCCATGCAGATCCGGTGTTTCATGACTTAAGCATCCTGTCTTGATTGGAAGATGACGGTAGATGATAAACAGGAAGGAGGAATGAGCCAGTGTCTGACCTGTTCTGAAAAGTTATCACAAGTTTAATCGGTATATGAAGATTATTAAATCTATTGCTCATTTTATGCTTTCATGACACTACATGTTCACTATTGCACTTGAGCATCATGGTGCATCTTAAGCAACAAGTCAATAAAGCAATAATGACAGATTATAATATGCAAGTGCAGGTTATATGGTGTCTTTGTGATGCTCACAATACCTGAGCCATTATGAGAGAAGCATAACTGGGATGAGTACCAGCAGAGACCTCCCATCTGAAGAGAAAATCAATTAAAGACACACTAAAAAGAGGAAGAGATGTGTACATGGATGGGGGGAAAAAATCAATTGGAGTACTGATGGCACCTTACAGCAAATCTGAATGAAGAGTGAAGGTGGTTAAAAAGTTGCTGATGTGGATACAGAAAATGTCAAATACTGGAATGGCTTTCCAAGCACTGAACCAATTCCAGTCATAACTAATTTAAGAAAGAAAGATTTCAAGAAATACAATATTTCAAAGCAAAAGGTTGTTTGGGTAAATGCAAAAATTGGTTTATATGTAAAGATATTTACACATATTTCAAAATAACCCCAAACAAAATATTTGATAAAAACATAAAAATAAAACAAAATAAAATAATAAAATACAATTTAATAAAATATATTACAGTAATGAGAATTTAGTTTTTTCTAAAAAAAATCATAATGGTCCAAAAACTTCCTTTATGCAACAAATAAAAAAAGTGCACAATAATATGTTATTTATCATATCAACAGTTTAGTTTTATAAGCAGATATTACCCATGTATTAGAGTGTAAACAACACGAGATTTCTTTTTTTATTGCCTATAGTGGATCAGAATGTATTGTCAGTTGTGACCACAGGCCATTTATCATACTTGCCCATTTCATGAACAATAAAAATATTCCTACTACATTAATTTTTTATTATTGTCAGGAATTTGATTTACGATGCACTTTTGCAGTGTATTTGATCCAATTCTCAAATTCTACTTAATAATCCAGTTTCAGTCGTTAAATGGTCACTGCCACAAGATTATCAATGAATAATGACTTACAGTTCAGAATATTTCTTAGACAAAGCTACTGTATGGCTTCTGAAGACTAGTGAATATAAGTCCTTTAAATCATTTTTGGGTGTACTATCTCTTTAACACTCACAGTTTTTTCTTTCCTTTTGATTACTGAACTCTGGGGAGAAGGCACAAAAGCGAATGGATACACCGTGTTGATTAATTCAGTGACAGAAGTGTGAATAAGCTCTCATTGTGATTTAAAATGAGGGCCTGTCGATGTCCCAGAATCCCTGCTGAAGGAGGCCCTCTGCCTCCCAGCTGCGCTCTGAGAGAGAACAAGAGAGAGATGTATGGACTCACGTATCGGACGTTGCTGTGACCACAGAGACTCGATCTTTGCTGTATAATGTAGGAGGCAGATGGTTTGTGGAGGCAGTGTGTCCGTAAAGCTGAATTTCTCCATCTGGTTCCTGTTATTTAAAACACTACGATGCCCACTCAATAACTAATCTCTAAACTAGTCTCTGAATTTTAAGTTTGATGTTTATGGCATATTCAAATTTTGAAAACTTTTGAGGCATTGTCTCTAATGGACGAAACTCACAAAAATTGTCAGAGCCATATTTCAAATAAATAAATAAATAAATAAATAGTGTATTTAATATACACTGAACAAAATTATAAACGCAACACTTTTGTTTTTGCCCCCATTTTTCATGAGCTGAAAAATAAATTGTGCAGTTTTACTGTATTGAGGGGTCCGGGGGCGTCCGAAAACCAGTCAGTATCTGGTGTGACCACCATTTGCCTCACGCAGTGCAACACATCTCCTTCGCATAGAGTTGATCAGGTTGTTGATTGTGGCCTGTGGAATGTTGGTCC